TTTGAATGATGTCTCAGAGAACATTAGACATCTATTACTGCTGCGATGAAAGTCATATCCAGTACCCGTAGCATCTTAGCCGCTACTAGGTGTTTGCATAAATCAGTAGAAACAACTGCTACAACAATGACAGGTTAAATGCGTCCTTGCGGTAAGGAAAGTTTTCAGAACTCCAAATGCGTCCTTCGTAGATCCACTTGGGCCTTGAGAAGTAGCACCAATTTTGGTTCGACACCTCAAGAAAAGATTTCCAAACCATTAAATCTTTGTATCTACTGATTATTATTCGTAATAGTCCATCAGTATTGAGATGATTGATTGTGTTGCATTTTCTTGCAGCACCTCTGCAGATACCGCACAATTCCCATGAAATAAAAATCGGGAATAGACTTTCTGTTCGATTTACAGTTTTTGGCAAACCAAGTCAGAAATCAGTCCACAAGCACATTGGAAGGTATTTGCAGACCAAGAAGAATTCAGATAGTAACCTTCCAACAAGCAAAAAAATTTTCTCAACAAACGACGAGAAAGTTCTTAACATTTCATAAATCCAATCTCTGCAGAACTCTGGCGAAAGTCTCAAAATGCACTTTGCGAAGGACGCAAACACATAGTGGCTGAAATGGCAGATGTCATTATACCAAAGAAAAGTGGTAAAGTTGCTGCGAAAAGGAAAAATGAGACACTAAAAGCATGGAATCATTATGGCATTTTTGTGGTTGACCAACTCGAGTCTGGGTCAAGTTCTGGAAAAGCATCGAAACTGCCACTCCGCTGTAATGGGCCACTCAGTGTTTGCAAAAAGAGATCTGGGAGACTGCAGAAACTAACAAGGCGTCTGTGCAAATCGCTCGTTCTCGACAGATCAAGCGATCTCAATTGCAATGGTCTGGACAAGAGATGAAGATGGCAGAGTAGACTCGCCAGATGAACTCTCTTGCCACAGCCACAGCGAAGATTGCAGACGAGCAAACTGCAGACCAGATGACTCGATTATCTAGAAGAAATCCATCAAGACTGTAGCCCTTTTAAAGAAAGCACCTAGAGTTATACAGCTACTGTCAGGCATTGTACTGTGTGGTACTGCTTCTTTCCCATTCAGTATTTCCAACTTATCTACCTCAAAGAAAGAAAGGCGTGTGACTTGACATGGACTCAAAATCATGATCATTCGATTGTAGGTCCAGTTCACAACTCCACTTAATGAGCTACCCTATTCTGTTCAGAATATTATGCCTGTTTGATAAACCTCTTGCAAAGTCATGCTAGAAGCTATCGTAAATTCAAACAGAGGTCATTTCTAACAAAATTCTGAAACCGAAAATTTTATTGGAAGCATTCACAAAGCTCATTACGTATCCATGCATTTAGATTAAATAGATGAAAAGTATTGCTTCAACAACTCGCGGATATAAAAATTCCGTAGAATAAATGTCATTTGATAGTTGCACTCTGTGCCCCTGTTGTATGAAAGCGCAATTTCAATGACAGTGAATGTGCAACTATGTTAGCCAATTTCAAATGTGCTTCCAGTGACGATACATATGCACTTTATTATCACTTTGATCGCCCCTCCTAATAGTTAACAACGAAAGCACGTACTTGATTCTTTCCGCCAGACCACTTTCCGAAATTCTCCATGATATCAATTAAGTGCCTGCAGAACTCTCGAGAAAACAATGGAAACCAGTAAACATCAGGACATGGTAACGTGAAGTTATAGTGAGGTTTCAAAACGTTCGAATAGTTTTCATGCAAGTATTTCCGTTCCCAATCCTAAAATTTGCATTTGAAAAAAATAAAAATAAAAATTATCACGCTATACTTACGAATTTATTTTGAAAAATATTGTATAGATCAGGATGAATAACTGATGTATCGAAATCCTCAGGGTCCAAAAGATGGCCATAATAGTGCTGGCTGTCGACAAACATAAAGTAGCCCTAGATAATCAAGTAAAACAAGTTTGAAATCACACAGCATAGTGAAACGAAAAGATGGCATCTTCATCAGTCCCACACTATAGAAGTTAAGCAACTTACGCTGTCACGACAGAACTGACAGAAGCTCATGTCAGCGTCCTGTGCCACTGCATATGAATAAGCATCTTTAAGTTCAGCCAAGCGACTGCTTTTGATCAGATATATGTTTGTGACATACGGAACGTTCCATAACCCTCTGACACATTGTTAGATAACGAAAGCGCGTTAGCTATCCTTCAAAACAAACCTGCGCTCATTTAGGATCGCGGTGTAGTCGAAAGAGCGAGCATAGAAACCATCCTGAGTAACTGCACCCCAGAAATTTGACCATAGTTTACCAAGACGAACCACTAACGGTGCGATGAAAGACCTAGTCAGATTATTGCTAACAATGAGTAAAACACACAGAACATAAATACCTGTTTGCCTCAATGAGCAGATGTAGCGTCTCCGGATTATCGAGATGAACTTCAGAATCGACCGAAAATAGGTAATCGCATCTTTTCTGCAAACAGAGCTCTCTAAATGCCACTTTCAATAAAGCATACTCTGGCCAAAAACTGTTAAACATTTCATGGTGGAAACAATACATAACTCGAATTCGTCACTCTTCACTGAGTTTCTTTACCAACTATCGAAAACCTTTATCATTCAACGGTAAGAACGCACTGTAAATCAAGAAATAAAAAATCATTCTCTCAACTTGGCAACCATGGCGAATAGATTCCTACATGAAACGAAAGGTCCTTTAACATTTTACTTTTCATTTAAACAGGCAAATTAATTGAGCATTTGTGCAGACGGAGGAAAACTGAAATGGAGACAATTTTAGTTTTATTAGTCTCAGTCTAATGGTCGGGAGTCACCAATCATTTACAGCACAAAGACGTGTTGGCGCAACAATTATCCGTATGAATTGCTTGTAGGCCATTTTTCATCTTGTCGCCGTCTATTCTATTTATATGGTATTACAAACGAAATTTATTTCCTTAATTCATTCCCTCATTCATTCATTTAGTGCTTCATTTTTTCTTCCATTATTTCTTAAGTACTTTATTTTTTCCTCTGCGAACTTCATTATTTTCTGAATTGTGTTAGATCGTTCAATCCATTACTTTGCTGACTCACTTATTCTTACGGAGCCTTCGTTTTTCCTTCTGCCTTCCTTTCACCGATTTGTTTTCTCTCCATCCATTCATTCATTTTTCCTGACTCTCATTTCTCTTTTCCTGCATTCCTTTCATTATCATCAGCCATAAAGCGCATTCTTAGTATTGACTCTGGGTTGTGTTCATCAAGCAACCATATGGCAAGCAACCGCAGACACGCTGGTCACATCTAAAGTCCTTGATACAAGTATGACTAAAAAATAAAGTTCCTCGACATAATTTTAGGGTATCACTCTGTGCTTTTGCATTTTCTTCCCCCGCTGATTGACAAACATTGTGATAGTAGATTAATATGTGAGAAACAGCTCGTCTACGATATATTACTATAGCTAACATTAAATGTGAAGCAAACGAACAAATCACGGTACAATCTGACAAACAAACACGTGTTTTCCCACCT